TTTATTAAATCATCTGTGAGTTATTTCAATGAGGATGCTCCTGGAATGTAGTGAACTACTCACACCACTCTAATAGCTGTATCAGGGCTGGGAAGGTGGCTCAGTGGTAGAGCGCTTGCCTTGCATGCCTGAGGCCCTGGATTCGATTCCTCAGCACCACATAAGCAAAAAGAAAAAAAGCCAGAAGTGGCGCTGTGGCTCAAGTGGTAGAGCGCTAGCCTTGAGCTGAAGAGCTGAGGGACAGCGCCCAGGACCAGAGTTCAGGCCCCATGACTGGACCCCCCCCCAAAAAAAATATAATAGCTGTATCAGGAAGGGACAACTGTCTGTCAGAAAAGCACAATTCCACAGACAGGGGACACCTGTGTGTTTTCCAGCATTCATCGCATGGCTGCTGATCTAGTTGGAGAGACAACTGAGTTCTGAGACAGACCCTACCAAGACAGAAGTCTTGTTAGATATGGCTTAAAGGACAACTGTAAGAGACATTGTCAGCCTATTGAGAAAAAGCCAAACCACAAAAAATGGGATGTTACAGAGTTCTGTCTTAATTTTGTCAGAGTGTTACCCTTCTCCGTGAACCACCATCTACTGTGAGTTCACACATGCATCTCTGCACTGAAGCCAGCTCGGGGATTTATTCACTAAGATGGGTGGTGCATTTGAGGGGCTTGTCTTGAAGCAGTTAAATGACCTCATTTCTGCTGGAATCCAAAATAATGTTTTACACAGCAGCATCTTTGCCTCAAATGTGAGAAGACACATCGTCCATTTAGAATTTCACTGCAGTAGATTCTTTGGCTCTTGCTAGGAAACTATTCTGAGACTGCTTGTCCCTTTGTATGTAGAATGATCAGTAAGAGGTGGGGAAAAAAGTGTGAGAGCTGGAATTCTCTTAGTCATTGAACCAAAATACTCAGAGTCTAGGTGAGAAAGGCCTAGACATGGCCACATGAAGGTCACAGAGCCAGGGTAGAACTCCTTGTCCCATCCCCCAAGCTTGGTGTCCCTGGGTGTCTTTACTAATAAAGACCTACGGAATCCCTACAGGAGTTAAGATTTGGGTATATTGGTAACATTTTTGGAGGTGGACCAGGGGAAGGTCTAGGGTGGATGACAATTATGGGGTAAGCCCTCAAATGTGCCCACAGACATAAGCATACCAGCCATGAATTGATTTGTAAGCCTGGAAGATAGTAGAATTGTCCCTTTGCTATGGGACTACACTTGGTTATATTTGTTTATTACTACTTATTATCACCAAAATCCACACTGCATGTAAGCCAACATATAACAAAACTGTCATTGTGAATGATTAATGGTCTTTGCTAAAAAGCTAGTAAGGTATCTGAGCTTATCTCTAAAATTGCTTCTATACGACCTAGGAAATTCTAATGCTTCAGAAGATGTGCCTACTGTAATTTTTAAATTTCTTGTGTGTTTATCTTTATTTTTATACTTTACACAAACATATAATTTAAAAAACCAAGGTATTTGTTAAAAGGAAGTATATTTCCCCTTGCTTTGCTAAGGGAGAATAGAACAGGAAAACAAAATCTGAAGATTTATTTGAATGTATTATCTTCTCAGGACAACTAAGTCTAAGAGAAAGAAGTACCTGACAAACTAAAAGGGTCTGAATGAGCATTACAGATCTTTTGTTTAATTTATTAAGTCTTTGTAGATATATTAAATCATTAATAAAGCAGAAACGGAACAACACTGACATGTTTAATCTTCTATTATTCAACCGGAATGGAATTTTCCTCCCAATGACTTAAGAGGCAAATAGCTAATTTCTGTGTCTCTGTAAATTCTATTTTTATTATGACCTGGGTCTCAACCATCTTGAAGGAAAAAAAAAATCCACTTTAGCCCAAGAACTTAAGCAACCATTTTTTTTTTTTAATTGGGGCTTGAACTCAGGGTATGGGTGCAGTCCCTGAGCTTTATTGCTTAAGGCTAGCACTCTACTACTTTGAACCACAGCTCCACTTCCAGTTTTCTGGGGGTTAATTGAAAATGAGAGTCTCATAGACTTTTCTGCTAGGGTTGGCTTCAAACAGCAATCCTCAGATCTCAGCCTCCTGAGTAGCTTGGAATACAGGCATGAGCCACCGGTGCCTGGCTCCTAGGCAACCTTTTTAAGATTGTCAATGGTGGCCAGGTGCCAGTGGCTCACGCCTATAATCCTAGTAACTCAGGAGGCTGAGATCTGAGGATCGAGGCTCAAAGCCAGCCTGGGCAGGGAAGTCTGTAAGACTTATCTCAATAAACCACCAGAAAACTGGAAGTGGCACTGTGGTTCAAGTGGTAGAGTGCTAGCCTTGAGCTGAAGAGCTGAGGAACAGTACCCAGGCCCAGAGTTCAAGCCCCATGACCAACAACAACAACAACAACAAAATATTGTCAATGGTTTCCCTTTTTTTGGTGACACCAGGATGTTGAAGACGTCGTAATGTTCTACTACCTGCCAACTATGAGCAAATCCATCTACTGAATTTAGTTCTGGGTTGACGGCATTGAAATATACATACCTGGGAAGGTCTGTGGTCCATTCCCATTTATAAACACTCAAAGTATAACACAGAGCCAGCAATTGGTCTATGAATTATCAACAGTTATAGAGAATTCAAACATCAGAGAGCAAGTCTTTCCTTTCTCTAAGAATGGATCTTTAAATAATAGTTCCAAAGGCAATAACCAAAGTTTGGATTTTTTTTACCCTCTCATTTACAATTCTAGGCTATTTGGCATTGAGCACCAAAGTCACATAAAGGAACTCACATATGTTCATTCTTCGTACAGTTTAACCCAGAAACTCAATTCTTTGTTGTTGCTTTCAAGTATGGTGAGTGAAGGTGGGTACTGTCTGAGAAATTTAGAGTTTTATTTTTCTTCTGTTAAAAGAATTTCAAACCATCTCTACTGTGTCCTAGGGAAAAAAATCAAAGCTTATTTTTTTGGTTTGTATGTAAGATTCAACCTCCTCTGGTGCCCATAACCTTTGAGAGTAGGGACGCTAATATTTCTTATGTCTTGTATTTTTTTACTTTAGGCTTTCTGCAAATTCACAATCTAATATCCAGTTACTGTAGTCTCTGCTAAATGGTGTATTCTGAAACAACATAGTCCCTTGTGATAGAGGTTATTTTGATTCTTCTAGCCTATCACAGATTAGCTAACATTACAGAAACAACTGTATCCAATAGTCCTACAAGAAATTACATTCATTCCCAGGGCATCTTTCCCCAGGAGGCCAAGCTGAACATGATATGCTTATAGCTATTTCCCACCTTTTCAATGTTCTATTTCATCCTTAGAAAGGGAGTCTCCTGAACCAGAGAGGAAACCAATCAGCACCCACCTACTATTTCCTTAAAAGGACCAAAGAAGTATCTGCCAAGAGGATTCTTAGCACAAGCACACTTATCCTAAAGAAATATAAAAGAATGTTAGTTACCCCAGGGAAGATAATTTGAGGCAAGAAGCTTACCCATCACTAATAAGAATATCTCACATCCATTTGCCTTTAGACCAACCTTGACCATCACAGATGGATTCCACAGTACCAGAGGTTTCTGTGAAGGTTCTAGACTTCTGGAATTTACCAACGCAATGACATAATCTCATAAAAATAGCACTGGTGCAGGGTGCTGGTGGCTCATGCCTATAATCTTAGTTACTCAGGAGGTTGAGATCTGAAGATCAAGGTTCAAAGCCAGACCAGGAAGGAAAGTCTGTGAAATTCTTTTTTTTTTTTTGGGGGGGGGGGGGTCCAGTTGTGGGGCCTGAACTCTGGTCCTGGGCGCTGTCCCTCAGCTCTTCAGCTCAAGGCTAGCGCTCTACCACTTGAGCCACAGCGCCACTTCTGGCTTTTTTTCTTTTTGCTTATGTGGTGCTGAGGAATCGAACCCAGGGCCTCAGGCATGCAAGGCAAGAGCTCTACCACTGAGCCACCTTCCCAGCCCATGTGAAATTCTTATCTCAATGAATAAATAAAAAGTAGCATTGGTTTTGAACAGATACAAACAAGAGCAGCTGCTTCTTTGTCTGGTGGACTCTTCCTGTGTGACACTGAAGCTGGGATGTTTGGTCTATCCAGTGCCAGCCCAAATTCTTGGCCTTGAAGTAGTAATTGCACTGTGTCCGCAGTGAGGATTAAAGAGGCAGCTCAAGTACTTTATCTGCAGCATTTATGGTACTTTTTTTTTTTGTCTGTTGTGGGGCTTGAGCTCTGGGTCTGGGTGCTGTCTCTCAGCTCTTTCAGCTCAAGGCTAGCACTCTACCACTTGAACCACAGCACCACATCTGGTTTATTGGAGATACACATCTCATGAACTTCCTGCCTGGGCTGGCTTTGAACCTCAATCCTCAGATGTCAGTCTCCTGAGTAGTTAGGATTACAGGTGTGAGCCACCGGCGCCCCATTACAATACAAATTTTACAACAGCAAGCCTGAACTTTTCCCCTTCTGATCACTTGGCTAGCTCCTTATGTAAGTAGAATAAAATCACAAACCTTGGGGCTGGGAAGGTGGCTCAGTGGTAGAGCGCTTGCCTTGCATGCATGAGGCCCTGGGTTCGATTCCTCAGCACCACATAAGCAAAAAATGAAAAAAGCTGGAAGTGGCGGCGCTGTGGCTCAAGTGGTAGAGTACTAGCCTTGAGCTGAAGAGCTGAGGGACAGCTGAGTTCAGGCCCCATGACCGGACCCTCCCCCCCAAAAAAAAATCACAAACCTTTTTCTTGTTATTGCTATCTTCCTTCCCTATCCCATCTCTGGTCAGACTGGAGTTTGAACTTATGATCTCCTGCTCAGGTGCTCTACCATGTAAGCCAGGCCCTGAGTTCAATGATTGGTAGAAGCGGCTCTTCCTGATCATTTCTCTTGGTGGGTTTTTTGGTTTCTGAATATCTTAGGGGTTTTCTAAACTTGAAAAGTAACTGCAAACAAAATTTCCTTTAAAATCGATTGTGTGTAAGTGAACCAAGCCTTACCCGTGCTAGGCAGTCACTTGATTGGCAGTCCGGCTTGCCAGCTTTTGAGAAGCGGCGTTTGTCATTGCTGGTGGCCAGAGGTGCATCTGTCTTTGGAACTCTATTCTCTGCTCCTCTGTCCGCCTCTGTCTTTTCTACATGAGCCCCAGTCACCTCCTTGAGAGAATGTGGGCCATTTTCCAGCTCCAAGCCATGCCCGCTTCCAAGTTCAGGGTCCGTACATTTCTCCTGCTCAGAGCTGGGGTCATCGGCCAACTCACTGCCAGCGCTGCTCTTCGGCTCTTCTGGGACTTTGTTGCTAGGAGGTCTGGAAATGACTCCAAACTTTCTTGTTCTTTTCCCCTTTTTTGAAGTTTGGTCACCCAGCTCCAAGGTAGGTATGTCGCCCGCTTCAGAGCTGTTGCTGCTGTGGCCATTGTAAGTAGGATGGGCTTTGTGCTTGAAGCGCCGCAGCATGATCAGGTAGATGAAGCCGCCATTCCAGCACTGCTCAGCCAGGTAACTGCAGCAGAGAGAGACAACTGCCAATTAGAGCCGCCAACACCCTTCCTGGACAAGTGGCACCCACTGCTCCCCACCCCTCTGACCCCAGGACCCAGTGGCTGATGACCTGGCCAATGGAATGAGGTACTTAGGCTTTCTAGAAAGCTCAAAACACAGCTCCTACTTGTGATCTGTATAATTTGTTGCTGCTAAAATGACCCCAACCTCCCCCAAATAAGACAATGTTACTATGAACTAGAAATTACTAATTTGTATCTTCTATGACACGGAATCAGCATAAGATTTTTCTAGCAACAGAGCCACTTCTACCAATCATTAAAATATAAAATTCTCACCAGGCGCCAGTGGCTCCTGCCTGTCATCCTAGCTACTCAGGAGGCTGAGATCTGAAGATTGCAGTTCAAAGCCAGCCCGGGCAAGAAAGTTTGTGAGTCTCTTATCTCCAACAAACCACCAGAAAACCTGAAGTGGTGCTATGGCTCAAGCGGTAGAGCCCTTGCCTTGAGCTGTAGAGCAGAGGGACAGAGCCCAAGCTCCAGGACAGACAATAAATAAAGAATAAAATATAAAATTCTCTCTCTCTGATGATGCTGGGATCTGAACTCAGGGGTTTGCACTTGTCAGGCAGGTGCTTTATTGCTTGAATGCTACCACCAGACAATCTTTTTTAGTTATTTTTCAGGTAGGGTCTCATGCTTTGTGCCTGGTCTTGGACCAGGATCTCTCTGCCTATACCTCCTATGTAGCTGAAGCTACAGTTGTAGGCCATAATACTTGGCTTGCAAGGACTCTGAAACATGGCCTTGCTATCTCTTTTTGCCCAGGCTAGCCCTGAACCTTAGTCCTTGTATCTCCTCCCCAAGAAGCCAGAATTATAGACATTAGCCACCATGTCCAAGTCCCTCCCCTCAGCTCTGGGGCACTGAATCCAATGCCTTATGTATGCTAGACAAGGGCTCTACTATTGAGCTACAGTTCTAACAAGAACTGTACTGTTTTGTAGTACAGGAGGGTAAGTATTTTAGATTTCTAAATAGCTAGTAGAGAGAACTTAATTTTAGATGTTCTCAACACAAAGAAATGATAAATATCTTAGATGATGCTGATTATTCTGATCTGATCACTACACATTATACACATATACTGAAATACCATACTGCGATTCATAAACACATATAAATTATATCTCAGTGGACAGAATAGATTTTAAAGAGACAGAGAGGTCAAACCAGAAAAATTTTCTCTACTTCCTCAATAACTTGCATCAGAATGATCACACCCATATATTGCCAATAAAACAATTCTACATGTTCCCGAGGTAAAGAATAGACTAAATGGATTGGAGGAGACCTGAAGCTCTGTGTTTACAATTTTTTAAAAACCCCAACAGAATAATAGAAACTTCTGTCTCTCAGAGGCTAAAAAAGATGCACTGCTAAGTGGGAGCAGGGAGCTGGCTGGTGATCAGGAGCTCCTGCCTAAGAAAGCTCCAGTTCCTGTAGGCTGCACAGAATGGGTGCCAGGCTTGTTCTCGGGGAACGTGCTAGTCTGGGCTGTTCACTGCACATGTAGGCTGTCACCGCTAGTACAGACAACATATTAAGAGGAATGCTGACAAGAAGGAAACAAATGGACAGGATAGGAACTGTGTCAATCTGGAACAGTGGGAGCCGTAGAGGATCATCAGCATGAGAAGACAGGGTCAGGCTCAGTGGCTTCTTAGGGAGTTAAGACCTGGCAAATCCTGAGAAGCAGGAGGTAATAGAAATGAGATGATGTATATGGAGTGTGATGCGTGAGAGCTGCTGTAAATTAAACTCCATGAAATGGAAACAACAACAATAGCAAAGATCTTAATAGAACAGCAAATGAATTAACTGGCAGTGTTCAGACGCCTAAGTCACGAAAGCTTCATCAAACAGGACACTTGACTGAATTTGGAAAACCAGGCCACGCTGGCCCTTCCAAACAAAGAAGCACAGGTCTCTAAAGAACCCAGGGAGATGTCTTCATTACTGGAATCTTGCCACATGCTATACATCATTAGTTCCCAAGCAAAGAGTGTCAACATCCGAGCCCCACGAATCACACTTGCTTTTGGTCTGACTCCCACATAGAAGGCCCGGAGCCATGTTGCCTATGTCTTCAGTAAGTGAGTGTGCTAAGTCAGCTGTTCTCCCTCCAGGCACAGTGCTGACTCTAAGGAGATGAGGGATGCGGGTAAACAGACATTAAGATGCCCTCTGAGATCTCAGTACCAGGAAAAATCAGATCTGGGAGCTGGCGCCCTCAGAACGTGGGAAGGAGGACAGGCCTTCAGAGTCCTCCTCTCACCGCACTCTGGACCTGCATTTCGGATGAAAAGGGAAGAACTGATGATCAGTTGTAGTTGAAAAGTACCAGATTCTGGCCCAAGGCATAGATTCCTCATGTCTAGTGGTCAGATCAGGGCAATGACAGTGACTATTAGATAGACAAGAGAATAATTCTCTATTTTTGCCACAGAGTAAAGTGAACAAGCAAGAAGAAAACTCAACCATCAGCCAAACCTAATAAAAATTTACCTTGATTCTGGGCCATGGTGTATGAGCATGTGAACTCTCTCTCTCTCTCTCTCTCTCTCTCTCTCTCTCTCTCTCTCTCTCTCACACACACACACATACACACATATGTAAATAAAATGTATGACAGATCTCAGGATACTTTGTGAAACATTGTAGGATAGAGACCACTAGTAGAGTCTAGAAAATTAAGATTAATTCTGTCTTTTAGCACAATTTTCCACACAAGTTTAGATTTTTCTTTCTTTGCTTGCTTGCTTGCTTCCTTCCCTCCCTTTCCTCCCTCCCTCCCTTTCTTCCCTCCCTCCCTTCCTTCTTTCCTTCCTTCCTTCTTTCCCTTCCTTCCTTTCCTTTTGCTGGACCTGGGGCTTGAACTCAGAGTCCTGGTGCTATCTCTGACTGTGCTTCTTTATGTTCAAGGTTAGCACTCTACCACTTGAGCAAGCTTTACGTCCAGCTGTTTCTGTATAGTTTATTGGAGATAAGAGTCTCATGGACTCCTGCCTGGGCTGGCTTTGAACTGTGTTACTCAGATCTCAGCTTCCTGAGTAGGTAGGATTACAGGTGTGAGCCACCAGCACCTGGTTTAGACTTCATTTCTTTGGATTGTAAAGGTATAAAATCCTAAAGTGAGGTAGCAAAATTGATTTTTGACAAATAACTACTATTTAAAGGAATATATAGGCTCAGATGTTATAAAATACAATATGGGAGAGTAAAAACAGAACCAGGTGGAAAGTTGGACATCCCAGCTCTCATTCTGGTTTGGGCCCAACCATGTAATGGCAATCACAAAAGATTTCCATTCACTGATAAATAAACAGATGGTGGCTTATCCTTATAATGGAGTATTATTCAACAATAAAAATGAATTATATGCTGTAGTACAGGTGAAACTTGGAACATTATGGTAAGTGAAAAAAGCCAGACCACAGAATTCCATATGTTGTATAACCCCACTTATATGACATAGCCAGAGTAGGCAAATACATAGAACAATTAGTGGCTTCTAGAAGCTAATGAGAATTGGGACCAACAGGTAGAAGACTGGGAAGGTGAAGGGTGGGGGGGCACTCAGAGAAATGTTCTGGGATTAACTAGTTGTGATGGTTGCATAGCATCATGCACATAATCAAACTCATTGAATTATACATTGTATTAGAATAAATTTTACAGGAATTGTGTTAGCTTTCCACTACTGTCACGAATACTAATACAATCTGCTTCTAGCAAACAAAAGCACATTTTGGCTCTCAGCTTTGGAGGTTTCAACCCATGACTGGTTGGCATAGTTGCTTTTGGGCCTGTGGCAAGACAGCACCTTGTGGTGGCAGTGCATGGCCAACCCATTCACCTATGGCTGGGATGTGAAGGAGAGAAGATGCATTGGAGTCCCAGTGGCTAGAAGACCTCCCACTAGATTCTACCCTGAAGGTTCCACCATTTCCCAACAGTGCCATGGGCTAGGTAGTGCCATCTTTTAACACATGGTTTCTGGAGGTTACTTATCCAACCATGGTTTGAACTTTGTCTTTTCTTTTTGGTGTTGGTCTTGGTGCTTGAACTCAGGGTCTGAGGCATTGTCCCTGAGCTTTTTGCTCAAGACTAGCATTTTACCACTTGAGCCACTTTCAGCTTTTTCGGTAGTTTGGTGGAGATAAAAGTCTTACAGACTTTCCTTCCTGGCTGTCTTCAAACTGTGATTCTCAGATCTCAGCCTCCTGAGTAACTAGGATTATAGGCATGAGCCACCAGCACCTGGCAATGTCTCATTTTTTAAAGTAGTAGCCAGAATTATAATCCTGAGCAGGTTTTGAGTTCATCCTTTGGGTAGGTTCTTTATAGATACTATTTCCCTGAGAACTCTCTCAGAAAAAAACTGCAGCTAAAAATATTAGTTAGCGCCAGGTGTCAGTGGCTCACGCCTGTAATCCTAGCTACTCAGGAGGCTGAGATCTGAGGACTGCAGTTCCAAGCCAGTCCAGACAAGAAAGTCTATGAGACACTTATCTCCAATTAACCACCAGGAAACTGGAAGTGATGCTGTGGCTCAAGTGGTAGAGCATTAGCTTACATCTGAAGAGCTGAGGGACAGTGCACAGGCCCAGAGTTCAAGCCCCATGAGCAACCAAAAAAGAAAAAAAAAAGAAATATCAGTTAGCTTGCTCAAGGTCAAATAGCTACTAAGTAACAGGTGTAATTCAATTGCCTTCCAAATTCTGTGTGATGCCCACTGTGCACTTCTGCTTTTCAAGCCATCCTCAACTATGCACTTTGGTTTCCTTGTATATGAAGTGAACCTTAAATGGCTATGTTACATATGCATTCTAGTATTCATGATTGCCAGTTTCCCAGACAGAGTTCTAGGAATAGGAGGCCCAGACCATCCCAATAGGATCAATCTAATACCAAGGATAGAACATAAAAGAAAAATGGA